AAGAAAAAAAAAGAATTATGCTTCATAGAAGTGACACAGAGTCACAAACACACTTAATGCCGTCCTTATGAAAGGAAGTAAAGGCTGTATTACACGAAAATGAAACCTAAGAGCGTCGGACAAGCATTCAAAGCTCTTTTTCTCCTTCGATGGCATCGCATTTTCAAAATCGATGATATTTCGATCAATCATTCGATTATCTTTTCGAAAATAAGTTGGGATTCAGTTCGAGTACATTTCCAGAAATTCAGTCTGCTTCGTTTTCGGTCTCTATTCTGTACACAATTGTTTTACTTTATCAATTGAAAACATTGAAGTGTACGACCATCCAAACAGAAAACATAGGTGATCGTTTTGAATGAACCACTGATTCCCAGGCAGTCAAGATCGGAAAAAAAACGCGTTTAAACGCATTATTTTAACGTTTTTTTTCGCTTGAAAACGCTTCGAAAAACGGTAAAAGCGCACATTCTAACATGTATAAACGCGATATTTTGTCTTTTAAGTGAAAAAAACGCGTTTATATGCGTTGCTCAAGCGTTTAAAAGTCGTTTTTTGCTGGAAAACGCGTTACAAAACGTTAAAAGCGCACATTTCAACGCGTAAAAACGAGTTTTTTCTCTATTGTTGACTGACTGGGTTGTAACAAAAATTAATTTCTTTTTTTCTCAGAAATACTTCCTTAGTATTCAAATGAATAATGATGAATTCCACACTATTTGTAAAACGTCTTTCTCTCTTTTGATATAACAAACAATCCTGCAAGAATTGTTCGATTAGATCAGCTGAACCACCTATTTTTTTCAAAACGTAGTAAAATCATTTTAATGAATCAATCTCTTAATTTTTCTGACCGCAATATATAAGCGATTGCTAAAACTTTTGTAGTAGTCGATCAAATCTGTGATTGGTTTCATAATTGCTTATTCGGCCTAACCAGCCATCGGTTATCTACACATGGAGAGGATTTGAACTTAAAAGTGCAGAAAGCTGAGTCTACTGTTAAAAAGAGAATGATCGATAGTATTTGAAATGGGAGCATTTCTATTCCTGCGTAGCATTGCGTGCTCTGGATACGCGAAATCTTTCTTGGAACGAACAACTCGAAAATTTGTGTAAAAAATGGTAGTATAATATGTCTTCAAACAAGGATCGATCAGCAGAAAAAGTTCTTCAATAAGTTGTTAATCGATCGGATAGGAAGTACTCTTTCAACATATGACCGTGGTACAAATGTTAGGTGCCTACGAATGAAAATAATTCGTTCAAAAATTATTTCTATTTTGAATGAAATTCTATAATGAAACTCACTTATAGTGTATTTTGCTAGTTTATGTTGTTAATTTTGGTAACAAGAACGATGTCTCCAGATGGAATTCAACAAGCTCCATCGAATATACCCATTTTGAGCGCAGTTTGATTTAATATTTGTATAAGTTTTCTAGAAATATTGCGTTAGAAAATTTTATTAGTATCTGAATTTTGTGGCGGTTTTAGACCATTAAGCATTTTGTACTGTTTTTGTTCATAAATGTGCACATAATTGGATATATTTAGAATTAGCCTCGAACTCTCAGCAAGATGGAGTGTTTAGTTAAGCAAAGCTTCAGCTTTTAGTTTTTTCGAAAATTTCTTGGATCGAAAATGTTGAACAATTTTTCTCATTGGATTCTAGTAAAAAATACACCATTTAACGCAGAATTCGATGCTGGTGATGAAGATCTGGTTGTTTTTTTGCTTTCATCCTGGTCCAAACTATGATTTTTGGGAAACGGATGCAATTTCATAACGAACGCAATTTTTGGTTTGTTATTCGATGCAGCTATGCTTGCTACAAAATATCCTGGTATTCTGAGCACTTATTAATACCTGAACAACTCGTATATAGAAAATTTGTTTGTAAGTCGCTTCATTTCGTAGTAAAATGCAAAACCCTCAGTTTTCCTTAAAAAAATTCCATTTTTTGAAATTCCGTAACGACAAATATGTTCTGGATAGTTCAGCTTCAGCTATAGAAAAATCAATGAAATTTTTACTAGTAGTAGATCTAAATAGTCTCTATCTATAATAAAAATTTCAAAGAATTAGCTTTTGCTATTGATGAGAAATCGATATTACAATGTAAAAAAATGAAATTCTGTAATGCTTGACCACGCCGTTATAGCTGATGTCAACGTAAAATATTTTGAATTTCACAAAATCTGAAATCGATATTACTTCATAATGTTTCATCAATCAGAATCAAGACAACATTAGTTTTGTATATCCAAGCCTCCGATGAATATGATATGTTCTTTCGTCGGATATTTTTCTTTGGATAAATACAAAAATTGAAAATCATTTGTGTTAATGCGCTACGCTTTGGAGCAGAAAAATCAAATAGTCACAAGTCGATTTCATTTATCAAAGCATAGGATAAAATATAAGCACACACTTTTCGAATGCTTGTGGTTTTCTCAATCGGGTCAAACTCATTTTTGTTTACATTTTCTCAATATAACTATAGAAAAATTTGATACTTTTATGGGAAACAGAGTTCTATCATCTCTACGAAATACATTAGATAGTAGCATATACTATCGTATATGAATTAAGTTATGAATTGTTTATTGTAAAATTTTTTACGAAGAAAATTATGTTTACATCAGTATGCAACCAGTAAATAAGACTAGATTTAACTATGGCAAGATATTTGTTAAACAATAAAAGAGGAAGAAAAAAAATTGATTATTGGTACGAATAACAACGATAATTAACAAATATAGTCTAATAGATCAAGTTATGCATTATCATTTCATCGACTATGTCGTTAAGCAGTGTAATTTGCCATAAGATTTATTGTATTATCAACATTTAAGGGCTCCTTTGTTATGCCGTTCAGTGGATTCTTTATTAGATTATTACGCAGTTGAAAATTACGCATGCACGAGTTTACTAGAGAGCATTACACAACAGAGTTGCAGTCTAGAACAAAATGTGAAAGAGCAAATTTGATCCAGTTTGGCGTCGCAAATGTTGTCACATTCATATCTCTGACATGAAACGATGAAGCATCATGATATTTTTTTACCATATATATCCAGCTGAACGAGATTTATCAAAGAAAGCTATATATATATCGTTCTATGTGGATAATTCATGTATAATGATGATTAAGATTTCATGCAATAACTTACATTTTACAGGGCAAGTCTCAGTCTATTTATGAGTAGAAAAGTTAGATTTCATGTGTTCTTTGTTTATCCATGCATATGTAAGATGGTGGGGACCATGTGTATGAGAAAAAATTCATTATCGAGATAAGTAGAAATCGTAGGACATGTTTATAAAGAACCAATCGACCTCAACAAATCAAAAAATGACTAAAACTCGATCGACAGAAAGTATTGAAATCGAGTGTGGCAGCAATATTAAACTGGTTTAGAATGAATAATCTGATGCTATTGACATGTAGCTAATACGAATAGTTACAGAAGAGAAACAAAACATTCTTCATCCTAGACTTCAGGGAATAATCAATGAGAGAAAATATATTTCAATGGAGGAAATCAAAAATATTGAACGCTTCAATAAAGAGAACAGATTTACTCTAAGATTGACAAATATCATTTCGTTTTCCCTTTCACGATTCCTCTGTAGTCGCTTTATTTGACATTATATTTTTCTCACTAATCATGTAAATTCTATCATCTTCTTCATAAAGGATATTGTGAATCTTAATGAACTCGAATGATACGATAGCTAATTCATTGAAATCAATGGAGATACATTTCAATTTATTGGATTTCACTAGAATCCAGAATCGACTGTTTTTTCTTGGGAGATTTCAGTTCCATGTCACGAAACATTAACAAATGATAATGCTTCTTCTTCTATACGTTTTATCTATGAACCCTCTACTTCTCATGAGTTTTGTTAGATTTCTCGGATTGTTAAGGACCACTGAAGATCCTTTCATACTGCTGTGCAATCTGATGTATTTCTTCAGATGTTTATTGACTCTGGTGAAATGAAAAATACTTGAAATTCAACAAAATCCATCAAAATTTGCTTTCTACCAACTATTTTTCTCTGAACCAAGACTGATAAAGAATTGTGTTAAAAATTGATTCGAAGTAAAGATTCCTTATGACCATGTCTTTTTTTCATATACCATAATCAATAGGTTTGAGGAAGAATATTAAAAAATGTAAAATAGTTTGAAACACATAGAGCTGCACAAAAACTGTTTTCTTTTCATTACTTAATATATAAATTAAAAAATTGTTTTTATGTGGCAGAGAATTTTATTTTGTTTAAAAACAATAGTAATAAATGAAATCTTCGACCTTTTTAGATTGTTTTAAAACGATCATCATTAGCATAATATATATCAATATAAACCTAAAATATTAATCAATTATAAACTAAGTATCTTGTTTATATATTATGCTAATGATAACCGTTTTGAAACAAATTGAAACGGTCGAAAATGCCACTTATTATTATTTTTCTTTCAAATAAAATAAAATTCTCTACTGCGTAAAAACAACCGTTTTATTTCGATATTATGAAAGAAATAATCTTAAGATATATCCGAGGGGGAAAGAGCAGAAACTTCACTCTTGAAGTCTGATGAAGTCTTGAAATCTTATAAAGTCGTGTGAAGCCGCTGCTTACTTTCCACTTGATGTAACTTTAAATTCGATCATGATTTTGAGTGTCACTGTGACCAAAAAATAGTGGCCATGCCAATGTCTAAACTCGAACCATAATTCAACTAAAAACAATGCGCATTTTTTCACGAAAAAAAAAGAAGTTCCATGGGACAAGAAGTTTGTCCCATCCCATCCTATTCGAAGTCCTCATATCGATGGCTTTGATGAATATGAGATTGAAGAAATAAATATTGCTACTATCTATTTGGAATACTTTTGCCGTTATTTATGAGTAGCAAAATGTCTTTGTTTAATTTTTGTAGGAAGCAATCAACATACAATGAAAAGTATATCCTTCTCTCTATGGAATCACCATTTATTTTATCGTCTTGGTTATCGACGAAAATTACTGGCTTGAATTGGTCAGGAAAGTGGAACAAAAGCGTTGCTGATGGTCGTGCTATCCTTACTACACTTCAAGTCTCTGGTCTTTTACGAGAAGGACAATATATCATGTATTGTAAGACTTCTTCATTCGTTAAACTGACTCCAGCAGAGATCCAAGAAGATCCGGACAAACTCACCAATCTTCAATCTTTCGGAATTACCATCGATGAATATGCAACAGCCTATAGCAAAATGGTACTTCCATCTCGTACAAAACTTAGTTCCGAAGGCATCGCATATATTTGTCCATCGAAGAACTTTGTTCCTTATTATCATCTCTATCATCAAAAAGAAATAATCAACAAATTTGATAAATTAATTGAAGATGGTAAAATAAAATCAATGAATGGTGATGATGGTATTACTCGCTATGTCATATCGGATCTAGTTGATAATCGTGAGTTTTCATTCTAATAAAAGAATCAATTATAAATTTCATAGTGGTTTTTGACAGCAGAAGGGTATAAATGTTGTTTTATCGAAGATAACTTCCTGTATCCAATGCAGTATGTTTTATAAAATTCTGTTGCGTATTTTGAGAGAAAATTAAATCAAGAAATCATAGATTCAACATGGGATTTTCATATCAATATCAAAATCATAGAGAAACAGGCCAAAATCTAACTGAAAAGTCGTATGCAACAGAGTTTGTAACATATAAACTATTAGATAGATGAAGTCTTGCTCTACAAACCTACACATATATCCTTCTGAGGTCAATACTCTAGAGCCGTCTTCAAAAAGTAATTCTTGTTATTTTTAAAAAATTTAGCTTCGGATATGTGCTCTCAAAGTTCAAATGAAGTTGGCGATATAGTCTCGTTGTATGATAATCGTAAGTACACTACTTTTTTCAATCGGAAACTGTCATACCGCGACTGTTTTCCGTGTTTACGGAAGTTTTGGAAGATTTTGAAGGAGAAAATTGCACCTTATTCCCACTAGATTTAGAAGCTAAATAGAATTACGATAAAATGAAGTCTAACATCAGCAATTATTTTTGAAAATTAAATCTTCGTTTCTCTGTGCTCCATGTATGATTAAGTGTGAAAGAGAGACCAAAACAGGGAGAATATTTTGTTCTCATCCAGAAAAAAGCTTTCCTCACTTCGTCCCAACCTTAATTTTTTTTCTTCGTTGCCTCGTCATGTCTTTATAAGATGCTTTTATTTTTTGATCATATGATTTATTTGACTACATATTGCAAAAAACTGATAAAACAATCCCTGAGGGATTAAAATATGAAACACGATGTAGCTGTCCTGATCATCACAGGGAGATTATTTTATTCTATCTATTTTATGGCACAATTTAGAGCATCTTTTTATCTATTGCTCCAGAACTGGAATCAGAAAGTAGTGCATATATTATAATAAGACCTTATTGATGTATACTCTTTGATCGTATATCAACAAGGTCTTACACAGTCGGCGGTGGAGTCGCAGGATGTCTGTCACAGTCTGTCACGGGATATCAAGGCGTCTGTAACGGTCGGTGATGGGGTTCTCGGCTGTGTGTCACAGTCTGTCATGGGCTTCCGGCTGTCTCTCACAGTCTGTGATGGGGTCGTAGGGTGTCTGTCACGATCTGTGGAGTGGATACAAATTTCTACCCTATATACTTCAACATTCCTTTTAGAATATATTTCACAAAAGATTCATTTTTTTTTCTTAAATATCCTAAAGAAACTTTATTCTATTGCTCAATTTTTGTTTTTCTGCACTAGGACCTGGCCGAGCGACAACAAGCTCAATTTACTTTTGTCGAAAAGATAGTGCAGATCGCTGTGGTAATATACATTGCTTAATTATTTATTAATTCATTTCAAAATATCTGACGTTGATTGATTTGACCACTTACGAGGGAACTACTCGAACGGACACATGTCGTTTGAGCTCATATGGAGTTCATAATAAGGTCTCGGTAATATTAGAAATATCCTAGAGAGTTCGTGCCCATGGGTCTCTGTAGCCGAGTTATGACTGTTTTACTGAATTTTCAATCCAGCTGTAAGTATTTACTGAAAAATCAAATAGTGAAACTTCGATCTAATATTTTACCCATAGATAGGTCTGATGACTCTGGGAATATCCTGAAAATTTCAGCTGAAAAAAATATGGTTTTGTCGAGATACTGAATTTTTGAAAAGTGGCTGTTTGTCACAGATATGCCACAAAAATCGAGTATACTTAAAAATTCAATATCTCAACAAAAGAAGCATTCTTTTCGGTTGAAGCTTTCAGAATATTCTTATCGTCGTTAGACATATTATGGACAAAATTTCAGATCAAAATTTCATTATTTGATTGTTTTGGTAAATACTTGCAGCTGAATCGAAAATTCAGTAAAACGGTCATAACTTGGCTACAGAGGCCTCTGAGCACGAGTTCTTTTACGATTTTTCTATTCTTACCGAGACTCCTTGTGGACCAAATACGAGTTCAAACAGTTGGTACCAGTTTGAGTAGTTCCCTTATTAGTAACATTCTTTTTGAAAATGGATTGCTATAAGAATAGTAATCGTTTAAAATACCATTCATAGATCTATATCTATCTTTTTTTTTTAGGTAAAACAACATTTCCATCAAATATTCATAATTTATCAAACGAAGAAATCAATGAAAATCAACAAGCTACATCAAGTCCGAATCGAGAGGATCATCAAATGAAAATGAAACGAAAAAATGTATTTGAAGAGATCGACAACAAGAGAAGAAAAGATGATGGTAATTATCTTCATAGCCATGATTTTTTTCTACTTAAAATGAGTGACTACTTAATGAAAAAAGCATTGATCATTACCGCATATGGATTTGCATAGCTCATAGTTTGTGAAAGCGACCGTGATACCTTGTTTCAATTAATTGAATGATCATGGACACTATATTACGTAAACTCGTTCAATTCGAAATAGAAACTCAACTTATTTTCTATTGATCGATTAGATTAGGAAAGAAGGGTACGAGCATCTATAATAGGATATTTCACTTTCATTTAGGGAAAGTACTTTAGACTAAGTTTAGCTGCATGCCTTTCAATCATTGAACTTTTTAAATCTCAGTTAAAATATGACAACCATATGAAACAACAGACTTGAAGCATTTACTTCTTTCGCTGTTGCATGTTTTCAAAATTTATAAGACTATTCATAAAACTAACAACCTAAAAAGGGATTCAGCATTGACTAATTCAGGCATAGACGAGCTAACATTTAATTTTCTCCATAGTCAACTTTTCATCCATTTCATTTCTTCTTCAAAAACAACATAGAAGGACATATTCAAAGATGATACAACGTAAAAAAAAAGCTAAAAAGTTGCCTGTATAGATGTCCTTCTATATTTTTCTATGGTTACTGCTAAAAAAACGCGTGAGATTTTTGGAAATTGTAGTTCGTTTTAGGGACTATCGACTTTACTGTAGAACATTTCAAAAATAACCTCATTTTCTTCAAACTACAATGTTGAATCATACAAATTGTATGATGATTTTCTCCTAATACGATTTTATCTAGTCTAGAATAAACAAAGCATAGGGCGTCATATTTAGAATTGCTCCAAGTATTAGTAGAGCACTTTCACATTTATCGTATTTCAACTCTTCTGTAATTGTATGAATAGCATTCTAATATATATCAATCAAAAGAAGTTGTATTGTTGACCAAGGACTGCTTTAGACTCTTGATCGATGACGATTAGGTGTCGAGAGTTCAATAGTATTCGTAGTCTATTGAATGACTCATGCGATAGGTTCTGAATTAGAAACATGGTGAATATCAGCAACAGGATCGCAGGTCAAACATTTTCAGTATCAGAACCTGATGAATCTGGTCAGATTACTGGCCGAGTATCGTCGAGCATCAGGGGATACCTACTTCATTCGTCGAAACATATCGGCGATAGCATTGTCTGCATCCAATAAATTATTGACCTAACTAAAACCAAACGTTTACTTTTTCCTAGTAATTTTTCGAATCCTACCAGTTATGTATCCTATGGATTCTATCGATAGATATAGTCGATACCAAGACGGTATTAGATAATCTGAGAAAATCGGCGTAATCACTTGCTTGATTACAAGGTATCTTTGACAAGACGTCGAAATCTATTGATCGATGGCGTCAAGTGCATTGTTCAGTTTATTTGAACGGAGAAAATTAGTTGATAAACAAGGCAACATGCCTTACTTTCAATGTCTTAGAGTGTACTCAATGGAGTACTGGAATTAAACTATACCATCATAATATAGAAGTGGAGAATCTGATTCGAATTGAAGGCTATCAGTGTGATCACGAATTCGCAACATACTCATGTCTTATTGCAAAAAAACATCGAAAAACTTAACTAGATAATTGAATGAATAGATCGACTTTTCGATTTCTACATCTATGCGATACTAACTAAAAATGTACCAATAACAATATACTGGATATCAGTCATATTAATATCCACTATTATGGCTTACCAAAGTGACCAATAAAAGGTCATAAACTACCATTAGCTACATATTCTGCTTGCTTGTAAGTCAGTTTACTTTTTTGGAATCTAATGCAATAAAAATACTGATAATTACTGATCGTTTCTGACCATTTAATGACCTCTAATGTCTATCACTATCACTGGGTCAGTACACTAGTGGTACTACGTAGTGCATCATTAATGCTGACACACTTGTCGAGCAGTCTGATCAATGCCACGATGATTTTGATCAACCAAACGAATTTATCGAATAATATCATCGATTGTACGATCGATATTTAAAATAAACAGAACAGATTGAGAACTGAACGACTTATGCTTATTATTACCAGTTTCGAGCGATGATGATGAATTCTTCGAGCTATTTGACGGACGTGACAATGATTCCTATCAATTGAAGTGAATCAATTAAGTAGTTTAATGAAGGTCACAATGATTTTTATTAGCGAACAGGAATACTTCGAATAATATAGTCGTTTATGATAGCAAAATGATCTAAAAAAGAGAGAATTATTTGGAGAACATGAGAAATCCATCTTGTCTTGAATATTTTTCAAGCGAGTTCGTGACTCTTACGATGATTTTAATCAGCTTCACTGAATTGATTGATGTAATCATTGATGATTCTATAGTCTGAAAAATCAACTTTTTCGATTTCGTTTTTCATCGCTAAAGAAACTCTCACGTTTTATCGGTTGAATAGTTTACAAGAGAGATATTTTCGTTGTTGTGAACAACTGCTTAGAAAACTTTGACTTCGTAAATTTTGTAGTTATATACTAAGTAGCCTTAGAACCATTTCGTATCATATCAAATTCTGTTCCACAACGAAAACCGTTCAGTATTTCGAATGTACTCCGAAGTACATTGATACAATTCTCGTAGTATTGAACACGTCCATTATTTGTTCATTCTAGCTGTGAAAACAAAAATATCGATATCAATCCAAAAAATGAAACTTAATACTGTTTCGGAGATTTTCAAAAATACATTGTTTTCACCAAAAGTAGGAAAAAAAACGTTCTCATTTCTCTGACACTCTATATTCGATAAAGCTGAATTTTTTTTTACATATACTAAACGCTATTTGGGATGCCTATTTCCATTTGTTTAAAAATATATTGTTCTGCTACGTAATTTGTGACAACCTGAGAAAAATTAATCCTAGTCCAAAAAAGCTGAAATATTTTTTTCACGTGATCCTTATGTTTCGTGAATTCTACTTCATAGAAACAACATAAAAAGAAGCCAAAATACTAGCCCTGTGAAACGGTAGCTATTCACTTTAAACAAGGTTTCAGATCGAGTGAATATATTGCATCTGAAGAGCGTAGAGAAAAGTGATGCCAATATTGGTTTCTGCAATCTAAATATCACCTAGATGAAATTATTTTGCAAAATTAAGTTCAGCACAACGTATGCTCTACTATCCAATGTATATGTGCACTGAAAGTTCAAAAAATTTTTTCATTAAGCCATTCTTGAGATAACTTTGAAATAAGTAACCACTATCTTAAGATCGTTCTCTGTCTATGTTCATGACCCATATTAGACAGTTCTTATTCCTAATATCGATCATGTCATTTGATGATCTTACATCTAGTTAGTTTTGGTCTAATTCTGATTAAATTCGACTGAATAAAATGGTTGAAGATCCTGATTTTTTCCCAATGGTAGCTAGCAGTTGGATCCATGGACAAAAATTGTTTGAACTCTGTAGGATTGTATCCTTATCGACTCATCAAAATGAAATTGTCTCGATCCTAGAATTAAAACAATCATAGGTTCTTATCTATCCATCGTGTTTGTCGTCGCCAAACATGTGTCGCCGCTCATCAGCTTTTTATGCTCTATTGAATTGTGGATTTGATGATGAAAATTTGTCGTGTCCAGGATGTTGCGCATGAATCTTTTGATAGATTCTGGAAGTTACCGAATTTCGAACCTCTTTTCATCATTGATCCTCGCTTAGTAATAGCCCATTAATACTCTTGTTCCGTTTAACTCAGCTTACGAATATTACTGTTTTTGGTTATCTCTCCTGAATTTCGCTTCGACGGATTTGATTTATAACATCACTCACTGAAAACCAAAGAAAATTTAACTACCATCGTTGATCTTGATTCGAACAATCCTAGTCGAACTTTTTTATGCTCATGAAGTCCTTGATTTTGTTGAGCAACAAAATTATGTGATATGAACCAGAGACCCAAACAAATAAGAAAATCTCGATTCGGATTCGATGTGGCTTCTGTCTCTGGTACGAACGTATCTTGAGGTCTGTGCATGTCAAACACATGAAAAAAAACAGAGTTTGACTAGGGAAATATTTTCTTGTAGTACCGGTTTAAGCTCAAATTCGATACATTTTTATTTTTGATCCAAAGCTCGGGATTAAAACTGATCCTGTGTGTCTCTAGTTCTGCACGGTTAAAACTTGTCTTAATCAAAACCGACCAAACACTATGAAATTTTAGCTGATTCGAAACAATGACTTCTTTTTTGATTGATCAAAGTGAACTGATTCTCTTAGAAACTTGATCAAAGTCGAACTGTTTAACTAATCAAAAATTTTCTTCAGATATGATATTTTTATGTTTCAATAAAATTGTACATATCGGTTAACGCTATCAGTTTTCCTCTGCTTTTTATGTCATGTATGTTCATCACACTGCGAATAGACTTCAGGAGACAGCATGAATCAGAAATAGAAAATAACAATTATGCATGAAAAAAAAATAGTTGTCATATAGCTCAATGTATTACAAAGACAAGAAATATTTAATATGTCTCTGACGAATGTTGTCTTCCAAGCATGAAAATGCATATAGTCTCGGAAAGAACTTGTAACAGTGCCGATGAGCTCATTAATACACGAATAAGCAAGAGGAAAATAGAGATTCGAATAGGAGAACGAAGCTACATTCTATTCTGTGTCGCCGAATTTATCTGAGTCCAATCAATGATCGATTATTTTCATTCTTAAAAACCTTTTTTTTTTCTATGGCACCTTTCGAGTCGACAGTCATCTCACAAGTCGAATTGATTTAGGAAGAATGGCATCATAGAAAAATGGGACGGAATAAGAGATGAAATCATAGGTAATGATCAAAATGAATCAGGATTTCGAATAATTAAATTAGAAATAATTCATGATAAGTATCATCACTGCGGATTCTGATTTCATTTGTTATGTTTCTGTTACTATTTTAATCTTATTGAAGCAATGATACAAAAAAGAAAATATTGCTTATTCGAGCCGAGTTTTTGGTTAGTCTTCATTTCAGTTCTATTGTCCGTGCTCCCGAATGTTATTCTTGCTGTTATAAAAAATCTAAAACACAATTAATGCTATTACTTCACTAATACTTTAAGCTACTGTACTATATTGCCAACACGAATGGCATGGATTCTTATTTTATTAATGTTTTAGGTATTGACGAACAACTGTAAATTGAATAATTATCAAGTAACAACAAATAAAATAAGTGGTCATTTGTATTTCATTTTAATTTATTGTCTGATTTTAATATTTGGTTCTTTATCTTCTATTTAATCTTCATTATAAACTTCATTCTTCTTCAATAAAACGAACAGTAACTTTCTTTTTTTATCAAAACTATAGCTATTATTCATAGTGCATGGCGGAAACAATCGCATTTCCATCCGTAATAACTTTGCTATCACTGTTGAAAAGTGAAAATAGAAACCAAAGTTTGTTCCACAATATTTTGCATTGCTCCGAAATAACATCGTATTTGTCCTATACTAAAAGCACAATATTGCTTGTAGAAATGAAAATATATTGTTTCATAAAATGTTTAAAATTTTCTGTTGTGACAAGTAGTAAATAGAAATGAACCGCTGCCCTATAATTTATATTTTTATGATAATATATCATTATTCACGTTCCATTGAAGAAGATGAAAAGACAACAAAATAAAAAAGCAGTTGTGTCTCGTGAATCTTAGTCACGCCTTATAATCACTAGAACAATACTGTTTTCATTTTGTTTGAACTCTTATTATTTAATACAGGCAGATCTCATTTTCGACGAACTTTCACTTAATATAAAATTTATTGTTGATAATTCATAAGTTTCGAAGGGTATGGCTGTGGGTGTGGGTATAATGAGAAACACATTTCCGCACACCCACACCCACACTCACACTCACACCCTTGTTGTCGTAGTCGCCGTCGGTTCAGTGATACTCGTGGTTGGATAGGCAAACATAGGAAAACGTTCAATGCCAGAAGGAAAAACAAACGAATCAAAAAATGGAAAAAACAAATAATGGCTCATGTGTTGTAGTAGTTGTTGGTAAAGGTAATAATAAATTATTATCCTTAGGAGCAATACTAATATCAGCACAACTAAACAAAAGAAAACTCAAATTTGAGATTAATATAGAAGAAACAAAAATAATTACTTGTGAAATTCTTCTTGATGACCGCAACCAAGACATGATTTTCCTGTCTCAATATCTGTACCCCAATGATTTCCAGCCTGATAACGCCATTGTAATACACAGTGAGACCATGATAAACTATCGGGTAAATGAGCTCTATGAAATAAAAAGAAATATTAAAGTCCAGAAAAATCAATTGAATATATTTTTTACCATAAAAAAATTCAATCTATTCCTTCATTGACTGGATGTCGTCTATCAAAACCTTCTCTATGAAGTAGATTTTTATCTAAACATTCTTGTGTTACTTCACTACTTGAATCTAATATGGGACATAAACGAAGTTCCATAAATCCTACATGATTTGCTGTTAACTGTAAAATATAACAAACATCAATTTAGAATGTTTGTAAGATGAATTCATTTTTCTTAAAAGAGCTTTATTTTCTATCTTACCAAGATTTTCACATCAATTAATGAACCTGATACATAATTTCGAACAATATTATTCGTTGCATATTTACCACCTACTTCATGATCTCGTGAACCTGAATAAGAATCACCACAACAATTTCATACACAAGAACATCGTCTGATTCATTCTCAGTTTGAGACAGCAAACAAGATAGATTGAGTAGACGCCAGTGTCACTGATTTTAGTCGTATGTTCTCTCATACTAGATATATCTTATAAAAGCTTATTGTTGCCTGACATGATCTTATTTATTTCCGTCGTATTTTTATCAGAAATCAGATTGTAATAAATATACTGTAAACAACGATAATCACAGTAATTCATACATGGCTAACAAAAGAAAAATATAGGAAAGAATCTAACCATGTAACAATTACATGCTATCACTATCACTTCGACAATGAAGTTGATTA